GCCCCCGCCTTGCTGCGGGGGGTCACCTGCCATTGGCCATGCCCGGGGCCTCCTCCCCACGAGGACAGCACCTCCCCGTCAGGACGGCAGCTCTGGCGGAAGCCGAGTCAGGGAGGGTCTCGGCCCCTGGGAGCAGGCCGGTGTCCGAGGGCCGCCTGTTTTCCCTATGGAGATGAGGGCATGGCCGCCACGTGTGTGGTAGGGAGAGCCGTGAGTCCTCGGCCCGTCTGCCCCAGCCCCACTGTCTGCACATCTGCAGTCTGGCGTCCCCGCTGCACCCCCAGCCTGGCCTCTGGCGGAAGCCGAGTCAGGGAGGGTCTCGGCCCCTGGGAGCAGGCCGGTGTCCGAGGGCCGCCTGTTTTCCCTATGGAGATGAGGGCATGGCCGCCACGTGTGTGGTAGGGAGAGCCGTGAGTCCTCGGCCCGTCTGCCCCAGCCCCACTGTCTGCACATCTGCAGTCTGGCGTCCCCGCTGCACCCCCAGCCTGGCCCCCGTTTCCTGCAGGCTCCCCGGGGAGTCGCTGCTCCTGCAGGGGCAGGAAGTGGTGGTGTCCCAGCACTGGCTGTCCCTGCCCGGGTCTGGTCATCTCCTGAGAATGGTGCCTGCCTTGCAGGCTGCGGGGTGCAGGCCACTGACTCCGGGTGGCTCCGGAGCCAAGCCCCAAGCCCAAGGTCACCAGCAAAGCAGGGACACAGGGGACTCAAACCACTGCCAGGGCCCCCACCCTTCCTCCTCTCACCACCCTGCCTGCCCGCACCCCTGCACCTTGGTGCACTGCCATCCCCGGGGCCTCACAGAACCGGTGACTGACAGAACACCGCCATGCATGAACCACAGAGCAGCACAGGGAGGGGATCAAACCCCAGGAGTGTGCTGGGGACATAGACACCCCCTGGCCTGGTGGGGCTCCCCCGTGAGCAGATGAATACATGAAGCGCAGCGGCAGTGGACACATGCCACGTGGTGAAGGCCCAGGGAGAAGGCGACTTCTGCGTGGGGCTCTGAAGTGTGAGTAGGAGTTCGGTGTGCAAAGAGAAAGGCTATGCCAGGGCCAGGGAGCAGTGCATGCTGAGACCCAGAGGTGGGGCGCTGAGGGAGTTTGAATTGCAGCAGGTCGTCTGGCCAGGAGGGAGACAGCAGTCCCAGGGAGTGGCTCTTGGCAGGGGAGCCAGCTCTAATGTCATGGGAAGGGATCTGGGAACCCTGGCAGGTCTGCAGCCCCTTCCTCAAGGCCTCCCCTCTAAGGGGTTGGGATCAGACCAGCAGGGGCTGCCTGGGCTCAGCTGGCTGTGGTGTGCACACAGCACCACCAGGGGGCGGCCTTGGCCCTCCATGTGCCCCAGCCAGGCCCAGCTCTCGGTGCCCGCTCTCCGCCAGCACTTGTCATGGGGCTTTGCGGTCGGCCTAGGAAGACGGTGGGGTCAGAGTAGGGCACCGGACTGCAGGTGGGGCACGTGGCCGGACATGTGGGGTCCCGAGTGAGACTCTCAGGTGGATGGTGGTGCCGTGGTACAGCCACGCTGTGAGGCTAGCCCACAGGGGAGGTTCCCAGGTCACGTCCGGCGGCCTCCCTGCCCATGGTCCTGGCCAGCTGAGGCTGGGCTGGGCTGCAGTATGCGGACCCCGTGGGGTGCTCAACCTGTCTCTCTGTCTCTCTTGCTCATCGAAGAAAGAAACTTTAAAAAGAGAATCGCATTTCTTTTTTTTTTAAGCATTATTTTACTAAACTTTATTTATTATTTTAATTTGACCAGAGAGACAGAGTGAGAGACAGAGAGAGACAGAGGGAAAGTGAGAAAGCAAGCCTCCAGGTCCGGGACTCGAACCGTGGTCAGCCATATGGGAGTCCAGTCCCCTTAACCACCATGCCACCTGCTGGTCCCAAGAATGGCATTTCTGACATTCTGCTAGCTGTATTTTCCTGGACACGTTCCTCTAGGAGCCTCAGTCGCCTCACCTGTAAAGTGGACATGTATGTAAGTGGACATGTATGATGATTAACATGTAGTAAACACTCTGGAAGTGCCAGGGACCATAATTATCATATTAATCCCCAAGGGCCAGCAGGGTGCTGGGGAGGTTTATGGAGCCCGTCCTGGCCTGGAAAGCTGCTCCTGCCCCGAGGCTGGGGACCCTGGGCTCTTTGAGAAGAGGCGGAGAGCCCAGATCTTACCCTGGCTCTGCTGTGCAGCCTGGGGCAGCGTCTGTCTCTCTCTGGGCTGTAGTGTCCCCAGTGACATGGAGGCGGGGGCCCCAGATGCTGTGGAGCCCAGTGAGCCGATGGCAGGGTGACGACAGCTGGGCTCACTGTGTGACAGCCCTTCCGCCACGCTGGCTGGGCACTGCAGAACTCTGACCCCTGCGTGGCACCTCCGCGTGCTCACGCTGAGCCCCATAAAGCTGTCAGGGGTTGGGTTTACGGCCTCACGCTGCCTGGCAGGGCGATAGCGGCCGCGGCTGGCTGCCCTTTACGAGTT